TTCTGTTTTCCTTCTCCTCATCCTACCACAGAGGAGCAGCAAAGGTCTAAAAGAGGTCAGGGGAGACCTCTTGCACCTGCAGTTCTAACTGGACTGGACCGAGTCTGAGAGTCAAAGAGATCAGTGGTTATTGGTTGGCCTGTAGATGCGGAGATGAGAAAGGGGGCGTTGGCAGAGGTCAGCTGGATGACAGAAAACATTTTGTGTTTGTACCTTTCATTGAACCAGTTATGCATTACACACGTCAGTCATCCCATTTGTAAGTGAAATACCGTGTTCTCTCTCTGCCAGGCACTCTTCTAAGCATTTGCCTCTAGTAGCTCATTTAAACCTCACAACCACCTTGCAGAGTAGGTGCTGTCATTACCTCCATCGTACAGATGAGGAAGCTGAGGTTAAGTGACTTGCCCAGGGTCACACAGGCTGGTGCCCAGCAGAGTCAAGACTCAAATTTAATAATATGCCATCATGCCTCTTATTACATTTAATAACATGCGGGCAAGAGCATGTTGGTGGGTGGATCTGGGCCGTGGGCTGCCACTTTGAGGCCTGTAGTTTCAGTGTGTTGGGAAGCTCTTTGGGGGAGAGGCGGAGGGCAGGAGGTGGGTGGAGTACTGAACTGGGCCAGGCCCATGGCCCCTTTAGAATCATGGATTCTCACAGATGGGCAGGATCTTAGAGACAGTCAGGTCGACCTTTAACCCCATTGTACTGATGCAGAAACCCATAGGGGGGCAGGACTTGCCCAGGATCACCATGGCTCAGGCCCTCTGCCTGTCCCCCTCTTCTTCATAGGCTTCTCACTTGAATTTATGTCCTGGGAACCAGGAAGCCTACAGGATGAAATTGCGTTCCTGTGATTCTAATCTGAAGGAGGGGAGGGCAGGACTGTCTTGGAAGCAGAACACCTAGATCCGGGTCCCTTTCTCTTAGGGATGCCTGCCTGCCCCAGGAGTGGGCCATCCTGGATTGGAGAGCAGCCACCATGGTTAGGCTTACCCTGGCCCAGAGGCAGCTGCACAGAAGGATGGTGCTGACCAGGGTGCTGAACCTGGATGGCCCCTTCCTCTAACACTCAGCCTAGCTGAGGGGGGAGGGAGGTGGACGGGAAGGAGACTTCCAGCTTCAGGAATGGGTTTTGCACAGAGATCCATGCTTCTCCCCTGGAGAGGGTGTGGGGATCTGGGTACAGCAGTTCTACGACAGAGCACTGGCTTGAGAACCAGGCTGACCCAGGTTCCCATCATGGTTCTGCCATCCCTAGAGGGGCAAGCCTAGCACGGCAACCACTGCTGCTAACAGTGTTTACCTTGCGGGTGGCTAGAGTACTACACGAGACTAGGAAAACCGAGTACACCGTGGGCACCAGATAAATGCTTGTTTCTTGCACTGGAGGGCAGCCTTATCCTGAGCCCTCAGCTGTATCCATCTGCATGGCCTCAGTAATAGTAACTGGCACCCACTGAGCTCCAACTATCTGTTTATAAGACACACTATTTGGTAGGACCCTGCAACAATCCTAAAGGTAGAGGTATGGCTGACTTTGCAGATAAGGCCACGCACCAGCAAAGGGAAGTCTGTGAGTCATACCCATACCTGCCTGATGCTCAGACTCCTGCTTGGCTTTGAGGAAGCCAAGCCTACTGGACCTTTTCAAACCCCCTTTTTCTCATGTAGAGAATGACGACACTACCTCATTATGGCTGTTATGATTTGAAGATACAATGTATGCTATTTTACAAGGGTACATGCATATTTAGACACATACATGAAACACGTGAGTGACCCATGGGGGCAAGGGAATGGAATGGGTACAGAGGCAAAACCTGAAAAACAAAGTGAGGCAGTTCTTGCATACATTAGTCATAGTGTGTCATGAACCAAGAAGACGGGCTGAATCCTTTGCACCTGATAGCCAGGTGAAAGGAAGCAATACAGATACTACACTGGAGCATCTCAAACTTTTCATGTGTGCGTGAATCACCTGGTGAACTTGTTAAAATGCAGATTCTCATTTACTAAGTCTGGGGTGGAACCCGGGATTCTGCATTTCTAACAAGTTCCCGGTGATGCTGCCGGTGCAGCTGGTTTGAGTGGCAAGGGTACAGAGAGTCTTCCCTTTCCTTCTCGGGAGTTCTCAAACTTGCTGGACCATAAGCATCTGAAGAACTCATAAAAAACAGATTTAAAAGCCCAACCCTAGAAATCCGGATCAAGGTGTGGGTTGCGGCCAGGATGTACTGTGTACTTTGAGCAAGCACCACAGGAGACTGTTAAGCTCAGGCAAGCTGGGAAGTGTGGCTGCGGTAGTCCTCTCTACCCCGGCCCTGGGGCATCCAGACCCAGGACACGGAGTAGACAGAAGCAAAGAAAAACAGGGCCAGCTCTAGAAGTGGGAAGGAAACAAGGCAAGGAACAGATAAGATGGGGACATGGGGGCTGCCAGAGGTAGGACAAGTGGTCTATGGCGGGTCACCATAAGATAAAGATTTGGAATCAAACGTTTCTTTTCCTTGTAAGCCACTGGGTAAACAAGAAATTTCAAACCAAGCAAAAGTAGTGCCATGAACTGCACTAGACCAGGAAAGGTCATGAGAACTTCCCTACAGACAAGACCCGTCCTATAGCACATCCTGACCAGAACCTTTCCAAGTCAAACCAACCCCTCTGTAGCTTACCAGCCATGGTCACCCCAAGGTGGCTCCTACCAAAGCCATGCTCTTCTCCCCAGGGGTGACGGGTTCTGGTCTCTGTCTTGCTCAGCCTAGGTCAAATTCTTTTTTTAAAAAACAAACAGAAGACAAAACCACAATGAGATACCACTTCGCACCTACTAGGATGGCTCTACACAAGAAGACTAGCAAGTACTGGCGAGGATGTGGAAAAACTAGAACCTTCATGCCCACCGTCAGGGTATGGTGCGGCCAGTTTGGAAAAATCTAGCAGTTCTTCAAAAAGTTAAACTGAATTGCCACACAATCAAGCAATTCCACTCCTAGGTATGCACCCAAGAGAAATGAAAACCTAGGTCTACACAAAAACCTGTACACAAATGTCCACAGCAGCATTATTCATAGACAAAAAGCGGAAACAACCCAACAACTGTCCATTAACTGCTAAGTGGATAAAGAAAATGTGGTATAGATCCATACAATGGAATATTCTTCAGCCGTCAAAAGGAATGCAGTACTTAACACCGGCTACAGCGTGGACATGAATCTTGAAAATGTGAAGTGGAAGAAGCCAGACACAGAAGGCCACATATTGTGTGATTCTACTTAGGAGAACTGTCCAGAACAGGCAAATCCTTAGAGAGAAAACAGACTAGTAGTTGGAGGGGGGCTGGGGCGGGGGTAACTGTTAATAGGTTACGGGGGTTTCTTTTTGAGGTGGTAAAAAATGTTCAGGAATTCGATGTGGTGATGGATGCACTACACTGTGAATATGCTAAAAACCACAGAATCGCACACTTTAAAAGGGTAAACTATGGGTATGTGAAGTATATCTCAATAAAGCTGTTATTTAAAAAAAAAAAAAAGTAACAGGTTATTGAGTGCTGATTTTATTGTCAGGCTTCTACCTTTCGAGTTCCCCAAGACATACCTGCAACCATTCCCGCTGGCTGCCTGGGGACTGCTCATGGCTGGAAGGAGGGAAGTGGCAGCATGATGTGGAAGCTGCTGAAGGCCCCGTTCACCTCCCCCCACACAACGAAGACATTGTCTGTGTTCCTCAGTGTCCTTGATACAAGACCCATGCAAAAAATGGCTGATTCTGCAGATGAAAGTCATGAAGTTTCTGTTCTCAGAAAACAGAATTATGTCTAAGACCACCCTTTCGACCTTTGCTACTAGAAAACCTACGTGGCAAATCTATTGTTCCAATCATCTTTTCCTCAAATCATGGTTCTAAAAGTGATCCACTTTCCCTGCTTGTCTCATGGTTTCTAGTGTGATGTTTCTTTAAATGCTTCCTTTCATAATAAAGGATGCTTGTGTGACCAAAGTGCCCCAAGTCCTTTCCGTAGCAGGTATGAACCAATTCCAAAACAAAAACATTCCACCCATCCGCAGGCCCCTGAGGAAGAAGACTACGACTGGTGATTGCATTCGTAGCTCTGCCCAATCTCTGAGTCTCTCTCCAGAGCAGAAATGTTCTCAAGGCTGTGAGGTGCTCTTTTACTAAATCAGTGCTTGAGATGGGGTCCGCCAGAAATGCCCGGGGAGCCTGCTCGTGCTAGCCTCCCCCACCCAGGCCCCAGTTTGGTGTACCCCTAACCCACACTCAGACAGGCAGTCCCAGGCTGTAGCATATTAGCACACACCTCAGGAAGGCTCTGGTAGCCTACCCTCTGCCCATAAATAGTATGCCCTAATACAGGGAAAGAACCCAAGGAGCTGAGAAGTAAAATGACCCACCCATGGATGAAATGCTAGTTGTGGAGGGAAAGTGACTAGTGCCTTGATCTCTGGCCTCTGAGCCTGGTGCTCTATTGTGCTCTTTCCGCTCCAGCACAGGGGTTCTTCACTGACCACGTCTGTCAGGCCTCGGGCTGAAAAGGATCCGGAGAACACCAGAGGTCAGGCGGGCCTGGACAAAGGCCACAGGCTTCTAGAGGCTGGGGCTCCCTGGGGGTGAAAGTCCCTCCTGAGTGCTTTCTTGCTTCACTAGCTCCTCCATCCACCCCAGCCATTGGTGTCCAGAGGCTGGGCTCCCTGCTCCTGCCAGAGTTCAATACCATACCCAGATGGAGCCCATGTTCCTCGGCTCTTCTTGTCTGGGCCCCGAGGGGCACTGAGTTACTCTGTAGGTGAGTGCCATACAGAGCCTCGAAACTTCATTCCTTCCTTTGCCCCCGTTTCTAGAGGTGGCTACACACAGAAGCAGACACCAGAATGTTTTAGAGTAGGAAGGGCCCCTCAGATTTAAAAGGCAACAAGAAAGCCCTGGGAGGGGAAAGCCCTTCAGGTCAGCTCAGTAAGTCAGTGGCAGAAATGAGATCAGCCTTCAGGTCTGCTCATCCTTCTGCTTAGAGGCTGCCGTCGTCGAGGCACAGACGGACCGGAGGACGTGCGCAGACAGGCGGGACTGGAGGATGCTGCCCTTCTCGGAATGACGCAGGCTTTCTGCAGTGTGCCTGCCCTTGTGAAAGTCATCCTTGTGGCCCTATGGGGTTTCCAGCCCCTCATTTGCAGCCCTGCAACCACACTGGGACCCACCTTAGTGATGTCAGGAGCAAGAAAGCAATTTATGACGGGAAGGGGCCTAAGAAGCAAGAACAGGCCGTGGGTAGGAGAATAGTCATTTAGCCCCACAAAGATTTAAACCCTCGAGTCTCAGAAATGGAAGGAGCTGGGCAGTAAAGAACAGTGGGAGACTGGCAACATGATTTTTGTATTGACATTTGGTTCTTATAATAACATCCAAAATGCGTTCTGTTCTTATAGCGCTGCAGCTGGGACAGCATCGGGCCGGGGGGAGATGTTGCCGGAGTCTCCCATGAGAAGTGTGGGGGAGCTGGTGGGGAGAGAGACACAATGATGTCTCTTTGGGACCTCTATGCAGCCAGGTGGAGAGCTGCAGCAGGTGCCTTGGCTCTGACAGGGGGTGGGGAGGCGATCTCAGCCGGCCTGCAAACACATGGGCAGGGTCCCTTGCCCCCAGCCCGCAAGAACACGGTTGCTGATGGGGCCAGCGGCGGCAGCTCCAGGACAGTGGAGGGAAGGCTGGGCTGTTACATTCTTGAGGCCTTCACAGGTACATGTCATCGAAGCCCGGCGGGGGGAGATGGTCTGGGTTAGGTCTGGAATGGAAAGAGGGGCTGGTGAGTTGGGAGTGATGGAGGGGCCGGAGCACACAGGCAGATGGGCCCTGAGGGCAGAGGGAGCCTGTCCTCCAGAACGATGCGGTACTTTGTGGGGCTGAAGAGCATGTGCTCTACAGCCATGGCTTGAATCCTGATTCTCCCACTTTGGAGAAGTTAATTCATCTTTCAGGGCCTTGATTTCTATAGGATGTGAAGGGTAATATGCACCCAGGAGTGCTGCTATTAGGATCCAGCGAGTCCCCGACACAGACTAAACTTCAGTAAGCGTGAGAAGCTCTTCCTCCTCTGAGTGCTCCCTAATGGGGGCTGGAGGAAGGGGGGCACTGAGGAATGGGGAGCTCCAGGGAGCCATCAGGCAGGGGCCCGGAGGAGGCCCCACTCCCTTGGCAGTGGCGGAGGGAGCCAGCAGCACCTCTGCACCTGCAGCCAGACCCCTCGTTCCTGCAACGCTGGGTGGAGCTGCCATCAGGCCCTACTTCCCAGCATGCCTGCGTGAGTACCTACCCAGATGGGCTGGTCCCAATGGGTCCAAAGGGGTCAAAGCGTGCTCCTGGGGGCACAGCGCCTGGAGGAAGACGGTTTGGGAGGCCCGAGGATGGGTCAATGAGTGCTCTTGGGAAGCCAGACCTCAGGGGATCCACAATCATGCCACCTCTCCGACACCTGAAGCAAGAAGAAAAGATGGGTGAGCAGGCATGGCAAGGAGCTGCTGGAGAAGAGGCGAAGGAGGGGAGAGCAGACTAAGAATGCCCGGGCTAGCTACTGTGGACAGCTCAAGCAGACACAGGTGGATGGTTGTCTGAGCGCCAGCAGAAACAGGCAAGAACAAGAACACCAAGAGCACGCGGCCTGTCCCTTTAGCTCTCCAGGCTCCCTGAACCCACAAAAGGGAGATTCCTGCCATGTCCTACATCCAAGGGGGACAATTTGATCAAGAACAGGTGCCAGAATGCCAAGGTCCATGAAGAACCATCGCAAGGCTCCGCAGAGCACTACTTTGGGTCTACGGACTAGCAGTAGTATTGAGACAATTCACGATGCTGGCTTTCGTGCGGTTTCCTTAGAGGGCCTCAGGGTGATCTGTGACCCCCCACCAGGGCCAGTGGGTGACAGAGGAGCTGCCTGCCTGGCTTGCTCAGCCCTCCCCCACAGCAGAGCTCGCCGCAGGGCTCCAGGCACGGCAGAGTGGAACAGTGGGGGGACTTAGCAGCCTCTCAGCCACGGCGGCCTCCGTCACCCCAAAGGAAGACTGACGGAAAGCTCTAAGATTAGAAGATGAGCGGGGGCTGAAAAGTCACAAGAGTAGGCTGTGTTGCTGACCCCTCCCCAGCAGTACTCACCCAAAGGGGTCCAGGTCCTCTCCCCCGACAGCAAACGGGCCCAGAGGATCACACCTGAAACAAACAAGGGGCAATTACCACAAGTCCCAGAGCAGTCGGGCGCCTGGGTTCCCAGGGGCTTGAACCCGACGCCTGTGGGGTCACAACTCCACTCCCAGGCAGGGGAGAGCCCCGCCTGAGACCATAACACAAGGGATACTTCAAAGTGGTCTTCCCCACAGACTAACGCTGATAATGTTACAGGGGCAATACTGAAAAGAGCTGACCACAAAGCAAACACAAGGAGGATCCCAATACTGTCAAAAGTATAAATATTAACCGTGGTATCCTCCAGATAAAATTTTATTTATTTAAATTTTTCTCAAGTTCCTAAACTTCATGTAAAGAACCAAGAACTTTTAGATCAGAAAATATCCAAACACTAAAACCAGAACGCCAAGACCAAGATTTAAAAGCTTCCAGGCTGGAGTGAGATGGGTGCCCACACACAGCTAGAACAGGGCTCCACAGCCGTTTTCCATGATGGCCTCTGCAGAGGCCACTTCATTCCCACAGACACCGCAGATCTGTTTACGCACTGCAGCCCACTGGAGGGCCACAAACGACTGTCACCTCAAAGAGTGTTCCACCCCAACACCAAGAGCCCATTTTTACTCTCACTGGGAATTCACAAGCTAGAAGCATGAAGCGAGGGCGTGCTTTCTGGAGAGCAATTCTATACTGTCTAACACATATACCATAAGGTGCGTCTTTCAGAAGTCTTAGACTCTTTGACCCAATAGTTTCATATCTAAGTATCCATCTTAAAGAACAACACATCATCAAATTAAAATAGCACCATAGAGACTTTAATCAAGGGAACTGGAGTTGGCCTAAATAGGGACCAGTTAGGCACATTATGGTATATCCCTAAATGCAATTATGGAGACAATGTTCTTAGAGAGTTTCAAACTGAGATGAAAAGATGCTTATGCTCCAGTGTTAACTGTGGGGGAAAAGGACAGCCTAGGAATAGCCCAGGAAATCAATGGTGAGAAATGCGTGTGTGGGTGTGTATGTATAAATAAAACTATAAAGAAGCACGCTGAAAATATAAACAGTGGTAACTTACTCCTGAAATGATTTTCTTTGTACTTTCCTGCTTTTTTCTATAAAGGATATGGATATAATAAAACAAAAAATATTTAGAATTTGCAAAAGCATGCTTTAGAGTCTGCCTGGAGTCCTAGCGAGCGATACGAACCTGGCAGTTCTGAAGTTGGGGGTGGGGTGGGGTGTTCCTGCCAGACCTCCGGAGCTAAACAGCAGCTAAAATATGCTTATAGGTTAAGGAGCCGTTAATTAAAGAACTGGGAAAAAAATCCAAAAGGTGTTTCTTCAGCCAGTTCTAGCTAATATGCTGGAAAGGATACTGTGATTTAGGTAGATGTGGCTAGGTTTCCAAGGGAAGGAATTTTTCCTGACCTAGATGACTGTTCCCAAGTCATGGTTCATGGAGCTGGTGGTGGAAGTTTCTAGTGACCTCTGTTATCATCCTGCCACCCCGGATACACCAGGTGTGCTGGAGAGTTGCGAACACCTCACTTACTATCCCTGTGACCTGCCCTGCTACAGATCAGCAAACGGAAGGAGCTTCTAATGGCTATAAGAATGCCTGGGAGAACAGAGCCGTATGGCTCCTGAAACACGCAGCCTTCTCTCTTTCTCTCTCCTGGGCCACAGAGCGTGGGGCAGGGAGAACAATGGAGGCTGGAAAGGCAGCTGCCGGACCCACCCTGACCACTGGGTACTTGAAATTGTCACAGCATATCCTCTGACTCAACACTTAACACACCCTCACTGTAACACACGCACACTTCTGTGAACTCGTTAAGTGCACGCTCAGAACCCACATTAAAACAGTCTCAGTCCAGAATGTGTTGAATGAGGCAGGCTACAGGGATTAAAAGAAGGTAATTTTTGTATATGGTCTCTGGAATCAAGCCCCTACTACTTCATCTGGTAATCAACCGAAGGAGAGTGTTACACACTAACGCTGTAGGCGAAAGAGCCTGGCTGGGCCCATGGGACCATATGTCCCAGCTCCAATGGGGCCCCTCTAGGGAATTTGAGGGTGGTCCTGACCACACACAATTTCTTCCTTCTGTGCTCCCCTCTCCTCTTAGATAAAAACACTCACTCCTCATTTCAGGTCAGGTTTTGCTACTGAACAAGGTTTGGCACCAGTCTTATGGAAAAAAACTCCTTGGTTTCCAGAGCTCTTTTGAAATCAGAATTGCATATAAAAGATTATGGGCCCAGAAAAGTAAAAATTCTCCTCCTCACCTCTGTTCCCCAGCCTCCTAGGTCTTCTATAGATGACTAAGATATCAGTTTCTCATATGTCCTTCCAAAGATACTCTGCATATAGAGTGAGCAAATATGCATCTCTCCTACTTTTTTAACAGATGGATGTACTGAGCTCCTTACATACATTATCTCATTTTGTCTTTACAGCAGCCCTCTGAATACATGATTTTTATTCTTATTTTACAGATGAGGAAACTGAAGCTCAGAGAAGCAAGGCTTCTTATAGAAGGCCACAAAAGTAGTCAGTGGCCAATACAATATTCATCCCAGGTCTGCCCAACTTCAAAACCCATGCTCTTTTAACTGATGTATTGGGACCATTTACATTTAATGTGATTTTATGTGAGATGTTTAGATTTATATCATTTATTATTTGCTGTTCCCTCTGTTTTTCATTCTTCTGTTTCCTTTTTTCTTTTTTTTTTTAAATTTTAGGGTCTCTGACTAGATCTCTTTGTAGAGTTTTTTTCCCAAGTGGTTGCTCCAAGGATTGAATATACATACTTAACTTCTTCAGTCTACTTAGAAACAGTATTTTACCATTTCAAGTAGAAGGCCGAGACTGTACCAGCATATATAGGTCCATTATTCTCCTCCCTTTATTCTAGAGTTGATCTGCGTTACACCAACATACACTGAAATGCTGTGATTTTTGCTTTCGACTGTAACATATTTTGGAGAATTCAAGAGGAGAGCAGTCAATTATATTTACCCAGACATTTACCTTTTCTATTGCTCTTCTTTCATTCCTGATCTTCCAAGTCTCCATCTGGTATCATTTGCCTTCTGTCTGAAGAACTCCCTTTAGCAATTCCTTTTGAGAAGAGCTGTTGATGAAGAATTCTTTTAGTTTCCTTTCGCTAAGAATATCTTAATATCCTTCGTAAATAAAGCAAAATATTTGCTGGATCCGGAATTCTGGGTTAACAATTCTTTTTTCTCCACACTTTAAGAATATGGATCTACTTCTTCCTGGTGTCCATGATTTCTGATGAGAAATCGACATTCAAGTTCTTATTCTTCTGTAAGCAAGTCACTGTTTTTTCCTAGTTGCTTTCATGATTTTTTCTTGATCTTTAGTTTTAAGCAGTTTGATTACATGTCCACGCATGGACTTCCTTGGGTTTATCCTATTTAGGGTTTGCTGAGTTTTTTGAATTTGTGGGTTTATGTCTTTTGCCCGATCTGGGAAGTTTTCAGGCATTATTTTCTTCAAATAATTCTTCTGTACTGTACTCTTTCTCTTCTTCTGAGACTCTGATCACCCCAATGTTAGACCTTTTATAATTTGCCCACAAATCCCTGAAACTTCATTTTTAAATCTTTTTTTCCCCTCTGTCTTGAGACAGGATAATTTCTAGTGTTCTATCTTCAAGTTCACTCTTCCTTCTGTTATTTAACCATTCTGATGATACTCATTCATCCAGTGAGGTTATTTTGATTATTTTATTTTTCAATTCTAAAATTTCCATTTGGTTCTTCTTTATAGCTTCTTATCTCTTTGCTGAGACTTATTATTCCCCTCATTTCAAGACTGTTTGCCCTCACTTCTTGGAGCATTTTTTATAATAGCTGCTTTATATCTTTGCCAGATAATTCCAACATCTGTGTCATCTCGGTGCTGGCATCTGTTGTCTTTTTGTGAGTTGAAATTTCCTTGGTTCTCTGCATGCCCAGTAATTTAGGATTGTATCCTGCAAAGTCTGAACATTTGTTATGAAGCTCTGGAGGAATCCTGCTATTTTCGTTTTAGAAGGCAATCAACATAGCTGGGTTCAGGATCCAAATTCTGGTTTCAGTGTCAGTTCTGTTTTCAAAGCCTTTTGCAGTGCTCTTCAGTTCTGTACCACATATGTGCTGCACTGTCTGAACCACCTCGGCAATTCTACTCAAACTGTAACGTGCAGATGAATCAATGCAGGATCTTGCTAAAGTACAGATTTTAATACAGAAGACCAAGAATGGGACTTGAGATTCTGCATTTTTCACAAGTTCTCAAGTGACCTGATTTTGCTAGTCTGGGGAACACAAATGGCTAGGCCTGTCAGAATACAAGTTCAGGTGGGAAATTTTGGTGGTCTGGGATTATTTACTTTGTTCTGCTAAGTGTGGAAACCTAGGACTGGGGACATGGGGATGCTGAGAAGTGTAGACAAAAGTGTGTATACATGGTCATGTGGAGCACCAGTTACAGTGCTCTGAGCAAGTGGGACACTAACCCTTTCCCTTTCCCCACCCTGAGGATATCCTCTGAGTTCAAGGGTGAACTGGGAACTGAGAATGGCTGGGAAGTACTGCATTTAGGCTAGGTGAACAAAGATTTTTAAAAGAAAAAAAAGAAAAAGATATGCATAAATTATACTAACAAATTTTAAGAAAAATGTCACCATAAACACAATGATTCTTTTTGCTATTCTTTTCTAGTCTTCTTTCATAAACATGCTTTTATAAAATTATATTATAATTTTAGATCCCACTGTTTTCCTCCACTTATGTCCTGTATTTCCCAAGTTGTCTGTCTTTGCTTTGACATTTTTAATGACAAAGTAATACTCATTCAAGTGAAGCAAATTTTTAACATTTCATCTTCGACTGTAGGTACTGGTATTGCTTCTGGTCTGTGTAACTATAAATAATGGTGCAATGAATAATTTTTGGGCACATTTTTTTTCCTGTCAGAAATCAGTAACTGTTATCCTCCGCTT